AAGAACCAGCTTGTTATTGCTTTTCCTAGAATCCGGCAGCTGCTCAGGATTTGTGACTAGCTGGGCTTCTTCCAGTCTGCAGTGAAACCAGCTCTCTGTTGGGAGGAAGCGTTTTTGAACTGACATAGTTTAAATTGGAATGAGAATGGTGACTGAAGCCTCTTAAGGATGTGAGAAACTGTAGGTCTGTCTTTTCAATCAAAGGATATGAACAGGAGTGCCTCCATCTTACACTGTAGTCCACCCTAGGCAGACCCTCCTGAACCACACCGAAATTACAGAAAATGGCTGCCCTTTCAGAATGTGGAAACATAGCTACAGGCCAAGATAGCTTATCAATAGCCAAGGACCTCCTGTTCCCCACACCCTCTGCCCTCCATTAACAAGCCTGCCCTACAACTCCTCAAGCCCACAATTCACTCCCCTTAAATTAGCCCATTATGGGAGATTGTAAGCCGCTGAATTCAGCCCATGAATTTAAAGGATAGCTGCTTGCCATGCACTAGTGCTTAAGATCCCCCACTTCCCCAACACTCTGTGCACCCGCTACCTCATGTCTGAGTGCACTGGCTCCCTTCTGCAGAAGTAAACTTTACCCTTTGCCTTGTCACGATCTCTTGCTTGCTGTCTGAGTGCATTCTTTCCGGCACCAACAAACTGATTCTTGGGGCTCATTTCTCACATGGGCACCAAAACCAACTTGCAGATCTATGTAAATGAGGCCTTATGACAACATAGATCCCTTAGGACAGGCAGAGCATATTTCCCACCTTTTTATGGATAGACTTATGTGCTTCTGAATGAGTTCAATACAGACCTTCCACTAAGGAGCTTCCCTGACAAACATGGAGATCCCACCCAATTAGAGAGCCAGTGCTGCGGTCCCCAGCCCCTGCCTGGAGACTACACCCTGCATTTACAGGAAGCCTCTGGGCAGTGGTGTTGAACATTTTAGAGACCTAGTCCCAAACTGTACCCCAAGCCCAGTTATTTATCACAAATGGCCAACATTGCCAATTAAATCTGAACACTGAGGTTTTAGTTTTTAAAAACAGCTCTACTGAACACCTTTTTTCTGAAAAACACAGTAACATGCATGGCATAGGTGGGCTACCTTTGCACTGGGGCACAGGTAGGAGGATGTTGTATGCACCTGTACATTGTATGGGTCTGTGTTTGCTGTGACATAGGCCTTTTCTGGCCCTCTCCTGTTCATGCCATTTGTGAGTCCCTCATGGGTCCCTCCTGCTGTAGCCCAAACAGGGTTGTTCTCTCTGCTTGGTTTTTCCAGAGCCGGGAGAGTTCTGAAGAGAACCACAAGTGTGCAGCCTTAAGCACAATCTGGGACTCTGAGCCACCACCAGTGCTGCACCTCCCACCTCCTCACCTCCAGTCATCAAGCTGTTCAAAGAGTCAAGGAGTCAAGGATCCCAAGGAGTCAAGATGGAAATATCTGAGGCAGCGGGAATAGCTGAGGAAGAACAACCAGTGAGTGTTATTCACACCCAACTCTTCATGTTCCCATCCCTCATTCTTCCATTCCTGTTCCCCATTGCTCTTCCTTCTAGATCTGGGCCCTGCTCCAACAACACCACACAATCTAATTTCTTCCAGTGTCTCTCAGTGCCCTCTAGGATCCATCACTATGGCTCAGTCCTTGCTCAGTCCCCTCCACTATGGCTTTTCCTACAACTGCCCTCTCCTTCAGTTCTCCAAGTATCATGAATTAGCTCCAGGGTTTGCAAAACAGGGTTTACAAAACCAGGTACTGCATGCTGCGTAAGAGCTTACCAGGGGAAAAAAATTATTCCAGTGGGAGATTGCATTGGGAAATTCTAGGGATCAAAGCAAAGGGAGACCTTAGTTCTCTGCCTGCCTGATTCCCTTCATCTCTACCCACTCACCCACAAACCCCATGAACATTCTCTCCAGGCTCCCCTGCCCAGAGCACAAATGGCTGGTGAATTAAAGCATCTACTGGCCCGCTACTTGGACCAACTAAAGAAGGAGGAGCTACAGGAGTTTCAGCTTTGGCTCTCTGATGACACACCCCTTGGGATCCTTTCTGCCACTGAAACAGCAGCTCAAGCACAGAAGATAAGTGGAACAGAGGTGGCATCAGACTTAGTGGCTGAGTATGGGGAGCAGCTGGCATGGGACTTGGCCATCAAAATCTGGGAGCACATGGGCCTGACACTTCTCTGTGATAAGGCCCGGGAAGAAGCATACTTGATGTTGGGTGAGTAGATCAAAGCACTCCATGTGGATCCCATCGAAACCACTGAACCACCCTCTCCAACCACGTCTTCCTCTGGGTAGAGGGAGAGACTGCACAGTCAAAGAAAGATCCAGGTCCCACACTAGTGTACAACTGGGAGGCTTGCTGGGTTCCCTACAGGATCCCAGAGCCCCAAACCTGCATCCACTAGAGTCCATTCCTAGGCCTACATGTGGTCCTCACAGCACCTGGGAGGGATTGCTACTAAAGCTGGAGAGGGTTGAGAGGAGAGCGGGACATTCCAAAGGCTCTGGCAGGGACAGGCATGGTGGTCAACTCCATGCAGAGCACTGGCTCCATATTGTACTTATGAGCATGGACCTGAGAACTGGAAAGAGACAGGTCCTAGTCCTAGCACTATGACCCTGTGAAAGTCCCTTCATCACTTTCTGCATCTGAAAAGTGAGAGAGTAAGAACCTGACTCCTTGGGATGTGTCCAGGTGAATAAAGATGAAACAAGTCGAACTTTTAGCAGAAACTATTACACAATATGCACAGTAGACATGTGCTACTGCTATTACTGCTTCTCCTATTATTGCTATTTAAAGCCCTGTGAGGCAGAAGCTCCTAGTCCCATGTTGGAGAGGTGAGGGTCAGAAGGAATGAAAACTTACACATAGTATACAACCAGAGCAGTTAAACAAATTTCCTCAATGCCAAATCAGGACCTTTGGCCTGGTAGCATCTATGAAAGCATCACTCTCTGCCCGTGTCTGTGAAGGAATCTGTGTAAAGGTTCAGGGGATTCACATGTACCTCCTAACCTCTTTCTGCTGAGACAGGGGACCTAACTGACATCAGGAACACAGTCTTGGTTCCCAGGCTTCTGCTCCTGCCTTCTGATAGGACCCAACCTCTCTATACCCTTACCATAGTTTACTCTTATTTATGCATTGAATCCACAAATACACCTAACATGGCACCCTCCAAATGTTCCATTTCCAAACCAGGGATTCACGGATCAGAGAAAGAGTCTTTGACAGAGCGAACTCCACGCAGCAGAGGTAAGTCTTGCTGACTCAGGCTGACATCCCTGCATGGGGCTGTGTGTTGGCCACTGAATCCCCGCAGGTCAGCATGTACCTGCCTAGGACCTGGGCTGGAAGAGTGCAGAGGAAGCACGGAGTTGTGCAGAGGTGGTGAGTATAACAGGGCTACAAATGCTCTTTCAGGGACTTTCCTGTGCTGAGACTGTTCCTCTACCCATTTCACACATGGAAAAACTGAGACCTATGAGGGTCTGGCACTGAGTCTCACCTGAGGCAGAGCTCAGATTGTAATTTTGTGGGTGCTGATGATCCCTGAGGCCAAGGTGGTCCAAAAATTCCAAAAGAGGATTTTGTTCTCCAGATAGAATCCACCAAGAGGCTGGGCTCAGTCCTCAGCCCCAGACAATCCCTTCACCTGATTTCCCTGGTCTCCCACCTAAGTCAGCAAGTCCCAGACAACAAACCTCAGTTACACCCTTGTCTGTTCCTCTTCTTGTTCCACCTTTAAAGTGGCCACCTCTTCTGAGTGCAGGGGGTACACAGAGAAGTTCACTTGTTCAAGCTCACCAAGCACTTAAGGCAGAAGCTGGGCTAGAACCTAAGACATTCCATGCCACTGCAAGCGATTTTCTACTCCACACTGCTACTACTTTGTGAAAGTCCCACCTCCCCTCCCTCACTTTCCCCTTCTTTCCATGCCCAGTCTTACCCCTCTTGCCCCCAAGCCCTGGAAATGGTGGTAACTCCACTGCCTTCAGGGTTCCCTCTGAAATCACAACTTGATGTATGATGTGAAACAAATCACTCTGCCCTTCTGTATCTCATTTTCCTCATCTGAGCCTCCCTACTACCTCCTTTGCACTCCTCATATCAAAACCATTCCCCAGTACAGAATTTCCACTTCTCTAAATTGTGCATGAAATATGCATGTGTATAAAAGTTTGAGTAAGTATTCTACTGACTATGTAGCAAGAAGGGTTATATTGCTCACACCTCTTCCCATATGCCTTCCTTTTATGGCCCCAGCAGCGTTCTTTTCCCTTGCCCTTCCCTTTGCAGTAACCCACTTAACCAGCTTTTCCCTTCTCTAACACACAGAACAATTCCCTTCTGCTCCTGTGTTGTATGGTTAGCATTTCAGAGCCTGACAAGACTGTGCCTGGCAATAAGTATGAACCCCCTTCACCTCACTGTTATTTGAAATAGGGAGTTCACTGTGCTCCTAGCCACAAGTCATTCATCAAAAGCTTCCTACCTAATGCATTCTGTACTCCCTCCAAGAATTTCAAACCAGTTACTAAGAAAGAAAATTCTTTATTTACCTTTAAGTGGCTTTTAAAATGAGATTAACACCCACCTCATATGATTTAGAAAGTAAGAAAAGAGTATATTTGATTCAAGGGGATTTAATATGTGCATTACCACATATCCATGAGAAGTAAGCGGTTTGGGACATGTGACACAAGTCTTTTGTCACCTCAGACAGCTAGGGCCTGAGAAAGGCAGACCAAGACTATGACCCTGGGTAGCCATGCTGGTTGCTTTAGAAAATGTTCACATTGTCAGAAATGTCCCCACCGAAGACAATAAGAAAACACATGTAGATTATTATGGCATATGAAAGAGGGCCCTCTGAATCCACAGTCTCACAAAGCCTAAAACTTTCACTCCAAATTCTACCCAGCTCTTCACAAACCTATCTGTGAAAGCACAACAGACAGAAATAGAGAACTCTGGATGTACCCGCAGGGTTACCTGGGAATATCTGGGATTCAGCATCCCCAGGAGATCATCTACATTATGCTAAAATTTACCTAAAGGGAGAAGTGAGAGGCATTCAAAATTTGGAAAACAGCAATATGGAAAGGGATTTTTACAATTGCACCAGTTGGAGTCTGACTGGAATAGAACCTCAGCTCTTCACAGTTCACCAGGGGTCATCCTATCTACCACAGGATGAGTTCTCTCAGAAGCAAACTCTAAGAAAGGAGATGCATGCAGGCCATTTTTTAGGAAACAGATTTCTGGATGCACTAATAGATGAGGTGGGAAGCGAGGCAGGAGAGAAAACCTAGCAAAGGTACACTGTGGAGCAGTTCACACCTGCAATACTAATCTATTTTAAAAGTCTATGACAGAATAACTGAGACTGGGTAACTTTAAAAGAAAACAGGTTTATTTTTCTTACGATTTGGGAAGCTGGAAGTCCAAACTGAGATGAGTAGGGGGCTGGGGATTTAGCTCAGCGGCAAAGCGCCTGCCTGGCAAGCGCAAGGTCGTGAGTTCAGTTCCCGGTACCAGAGAAAAAACAAAAAAACAAAACAAAACAACAAACTGAGATGAGTACATATGCTTAATTTCTGGTGACAAGCTTGTGCAGCTCAATGTATGCCAAATAATAAGAAAGGAAACCAGGTGTTTGAAAAAGGGAAAAAATTGGCGCCAATGTCTGCAATAGCTTTACCCTTCCCACCAGTAAACCCTAATCCATTCATTAAGGGTGCACCCTCAAGACCCAAAATGCCTTCCTCTATGCCCTGCCTCCTAACACTGCTACCACTAGAAACCAAATTTTAACATATGTTTACACAAATGATGTACCACCAACCCATAGCAACAACAGAAGTGTGATGCTCCTGAGGATGTCTGGGCACACTGTACAACATGCCTCAAAGTTGTGTGAGTTTGGTGCAGAGGACCCAGTGTGTTCTCTGTGGGGATCTCTCCCCAAACCATACTCATCCACATTTCTGTTCCACCCTGCCTTTGGGTCACACAGCCCCTCAGACCAACAGTCATATAACTTACAGAAGGATGTTGTTGGTAAGACCTGCAATGTCAGTGACTAAGGCAATGCTGTGAGGAACCAGCAGCATCTGCTCCACTCTCCCCACTCTCACTCCTCACCACAGGGCCTCCCACAGGGGGCATATCACAAGCTCTGAGGTACAGATGAGAAAACACAGGTTTGGTGGGACTAGTGGTTCAAAGCTTGGGCTTAGTCAGGACAAAGAGTTGTCCCTGTTTGTTCACTCTTTATTCCCACTCCCTAGAGAAATATCTGGAATCTAGTAAGCCCTTGATAAACTTGAAAATAGTAGAAAGTCATATGGGGAATGGGACTTGGTCAAGTGAAACACTGAACTAGTGCATATTCCAGAGTCCATGTCCTGTCACCTGCACTGGCCAGAACATACCAAGTCTGCACACAGTGCAGTGTCTGTCACTTGGAGTAGTTGCCAAAACCAGTACAGGTGTCCAATGAATGAATGAATGAATGGATTCCCCTATTTCATAACTTCAAATTTCATACTTCTCTCACTTACTTAGGAATTGTAACATTCGATTTTCCTGAGATGAGTGAGATATTCTGGCCAACAGAGTCCTGGAAAAATAAATATTTTTGTGAAAAATTCGCACAGCTGCTACTTCTACATACAACTCACATAAGAGATAAAGAATACCTGGCCAGGGAAAACTGGATTCATGACTCAGTACTGGAGCAAGGAGATTTGATTGAGATTGAAGACTTATTTGGGCCTAGCTCAGGTACCCAGAAAGAACCTCACACAGTCATACTGTATGGGGCTGCTGGAATTGGAAAATCAACCCTGGCCAGGCAGGTGAGAGGAGCCTGGGAGGAAGGCCGGCTATACAAGGACCGCTTCCGGTATGTCTTCTATTTCAACTGCAGAGACTTGACCCTGTCCAAGGTTAACAGCCTGGAGGAGCTGATTGCAACAGACTGGGCTTCCACTGAAGTTCCCATCAGGGACATCCTGTCTTGTCCAGAACAGCTACTCTTCATCCTGGACAATGTGGATCAGCCAATATCAAACTTGGAGGATCTCGATTCTGAGCACCATCCACAGGGCAGATATTTACATCCAGCACCTCCAGTGCTAGGCCATTTACTAGGGGCAGTCTTACTTTTCAGGGCTTTCTTTCTGATCACAGCACGGACCACATCTCTGGAAATGTTCCCTCATGCTTGGGAGGAGCCACGTTGGGTGGAAGTCCTAGGTTTCTCTGAGTCTGGAAGGAAGGACTATTTCAAGAAATACTTCACAGATGAAAGCCAGTCAATTACAGCATTTAGTGTGGCTGAAGCAAACCCATTGCTCTTGGCACAGTGTCTTGTGCCCTGGGTGTGCTGGCTGGTCTGCACCTGCCTGAAGCAACAGATGGAGCAGGGAGAAGTACACCCCCTGACCTCTCAGGCCACCACAGCCCTCTTTCTCCACTGCCTCTCCCAGGCTATCCCAGCTCAGCTCCAAGAGATCCAGCTTAGGTGCTTGTGCTCTCTGGCTGCAGAGGGCATCTCGCAAAGAAAGACTGTCATCAGTGCAGATGACCTCAGTAGGCACAAGTTAGAAGGGGCTGTCATCACCACCTTCTGGAAGATGGGCTTTCTTCGAGAGCACCCCACTGCTCTGAGCTACAGCTTCACTCATCAGTGTCTCCAGGAATTCTTTGCCACAGTGTACTGTGTGTTGGAAAATGCAGAGGAAAAAAATGAGTATAATTTCAATCTCAGATTGATGACAAAATTGCTAAAAGTTCATCTATTCAGAACACCAATCTTGTGCTTCCTGTCTGGCCTTTTAAGTGATCAGGGCACCAAGGAGATGGAGAAGATCTTCTCCTGGCGGGCACCTCCTGTACAGAAGTGGCACCTGCTACAGTGGGTTAAAGTGGAGACCCTATATAAGCCACAATACTCTCTGAGCTTCCTCCACTGTCTGTATGAGACTCAAGATGAGGAGCTCCTAACACAAGAAATGGCCCATTTCCAGGAAAGAAGGGTGTGTGTCCGTACAGATAGGGAACTCCTGCTGGTCACTTTCTGTGTTAAATTCTGCAACAACCTGAAGTGGCTTCAACTGAATAACAGTGAAGTGCAGAAAGGAGAACGGAGACACCCCGGGATAGTTGTGTGAGTATCCTGTCACACTCTGCTCTGTGCTCCTCTGTTCTGCTCATGACCCCGCATTCCCCGAGCAGAGATGTTCACTAATACTGGTTTTAGAATAAAGGATGGAAGCCCCCTGTGACTGCTCACTGCCCAGTCTCACTACCATTCTCTCTCACACTGGATGCTCTGCATGCCTGACCCTGTGACAGAGCCTGGTGTTTTCCTACTGCCTCTCCTTCTATCTCTGTGAAACCCACAAGCCTTCCCTGCTGGACACTCTGCCACCTTCACACTTACCTTCGCATGGCCTCCACCCTTTCCAACAACCACACAGCCCTCTGCATCCTCTCTCGTGACATGATTTTTCCCAGGAAAATTTTGCATTCAGCTGCTTCAGAGCCTCCATGACAATGGCATTGGCCCTGAGATCTTCCTCCATCACCTCAGAATGCATGTGTCTCAGAGGAAGTCCACTACTCTCCCTATAAAACTGACATCATTAGGTAGATTTTACTAACACCCCTCCAATCCCAGCAACACTGAATTTCCATGTCCAAGCTCCCTGCCTACATTGCAATACTGATCACTCACTACAAGTGGGAGTCTCTCTCCCTCTTTATATAATTCATTTGATGAATATTCATTAAACACTAATTTGGGACTGGGGATGTGGCTCAGTGGCAGAGTGCTCTCCTAGCATGTAGAAGGACCTGGGCTTTGTACCCAGCACAGAAAAAAAAAAAACACACACCTATGAACCAGATGCTATAAATCACAGTGCGTGCGCACGCACACACACACACACACACATACACACACACACCACATAATCCCTGTCCTAAGGAACTCCAGACTGGGAGAATAGATAGGTATCTATCCAATAATTACAATACAGGGACACCTGCAATAACACAGGTATGGACAAATTATCATGGTGACCCAAGGAAGGGAATGATTACCTACATAGACAAGAAAAAGACAGATTTTCAGAGGAAGCAATATTCATTTATTTATCTTTTATTTTCAGATTTTAAAAACACTTTCTTACTATAAAACCTATGTTCCTTATAGCTGAATAAGGCTATGTAAATAAGCAATAGATGAAATCAGTACCAACCAGAATTCTATTGCTCAGAAATAAGCATCATTAAGAATTAAAGTATATCATTCTAGTCTTTCTCTATGGAGTTTTCTCTGAGAAAATTGAACAATACTACATTTTATCTCATAATCAGCATTATTGTCTAATTGTTCAAGGTCATCTTCTCTTATTATTCAGAGCTCTGATGCAACACCAATTTGAATAGTCATATAACATTCCCCACAGAACAAACACGGCCCTAGGTAATGGTTTAATGCTCAATTTGACCACTTCCTTGTCCCTGGGATTTTAGATTGTTTCTAGCTGTTTCTAGATATTCATGGCTATATCCATGACATTGGCCTTGAAGGACCAGATGGAGGGGTTGGAAGTGACAGTGGCCTGACATGGGTACTTAAAGAGAGTTCCTAGCAGGTGCAAAAGCCAAACCCACATGCAGGCAAGAGGATACGAGAGCAGAGCAAGAGAGTTTGGAATGGTTGGTAGCAAATAAAATTTAAAGACTCCAGTCTCTAGTATGTGGAAATTCAAGACTCCCTGCTCCAAGTGGGGATAGGGATGGAGAGGCCCTGAGTCAGCTAGGCAAGGCAGGGACATCAGTCCAACAGTTACTGTGCACAAGCAGAAAATGCAGGAAGAAACAGTGAAGACTGGCCAATGCTGTGGGAAGATAAAGGAGCACTAACTAGAGATATTAGGGCAATCAAGATGACATGGTGAGTGATTTCCAGATTATCAGGTTATTATTCGGCCTGATGCTTTTGGAATAATACATTTCTAATTTTTCTTCCAATCAATATAAGCATAGCACATGCATCACAAACACCATCTTTTCATGTTGGGTGTCATCACACATGCCTATGATCCCAGTGTGATTCAGAAGCTGAGACAAAAGAATCACAAATTCATGGCCAATCTGGGCAATTTAATGAGATCCTGTCTCAAAATAAAAAGTAAAATAAGCTTGGGATGTACTTCAGTTGTAGAGCTCTTGCACATATGCATCATGCCCTGGGTTCTATCCAGAGTACAACATAAAAAAGAAAAAAATTGCTATCTTTTGAAAGTTATTTCACTTTCTATAATTCTTTTTTTTAATCTCTTTTCCTCCTTACTCTGTGTCTTGTTCCCCACTGTGATTTCAAAAAGATCTCCTTCCTTCCTATTTATCTTTCTTCTATTTTGCTCTACATTTATATATTTTTGGATTTTCTCATGTAAGAGAAACCATACGATATTTACGCTTACGTGTTTGACTTATTTCATTTAATGCTATGGTCTCAAGGTACATCCACTGATTTGTTTGAAACATATTTGATTTTATGAATTTGAATGTTTTTTAACTATTGCACTCAACACTGGCCACCTTCAATATTTTTTATGTCTGTGTACATTTATACTACTGAAGGTACTAAAAATAAAACTGCAGTAAGACTTTGAGGACCCTGCAATGCCTTGTAATTGTACAAAATCCTCTGTGGTAGCTTGTACTCTAGCTGTCTTGTTTTCATGTCTAAGGAGACTCAGTGAGGCATGAGAAGGGGACTCAGGTGCAAGAAGCTGGCTCCAGGGTCTTTGCTACTCAAATCTACATGGCTTTGCACACTTGAGAAAGATAAATTAAGTTTGGAACATAGTGGAGATTAGTAGGTTCAAAAGTTACTGAAGGTCAGAATAGAGCTACCTGGCAAATACTGGAAATATCAGACTTAAGATTCAAACAGAGTTTAAGGAGTTGAAGCCTTAAAGCAGAGGAAGCAATTAAGTAGTATCTGAAAGGGGAAAACTAAATGAGTACAAAACAAATAGGGCTGTCTTTGCACTAGCACTCTCATGTGATGCCCATGATCCTACCCACTCTGGCTCCAAATATTCTCTCCAATAACATTCCCCTTTGACAGGGTGAACACCTTCACTGGAGGAAAGACAGCCTCTTTTGCTGGTATTGGTCTTTTTATTATTCTCTTTAAAATTAAAATAAAGCCTCTTTTAAAAGTGTGCTGGGACAACTGTCTTTCCACATACCAAAGATTAAACCTAGACACATATCTCTCACAGTGTACTAAACTAAAGTTGAAATGGGTCAAAGATCTAAGTATTAAAGCTGAAAAACCTGCTGGGAGATGAAAAAGGTAAAACTCTTGAAGACATATGTGTAGGCAAAGACTTTATGAAGGAAACCCCAATTGAACTGGAAATAATACAAAGAATCAAAAAATGGGGTCAAATCAAATTGAAAAGCTTCTGCACAGCAAAGAAAATTGTGAACACAGTAAGACACAACATGTATAATGGGAAAAAATATTTTGCTAGCTACTTACTCTTCAGACAGAGGTCTAATATCTAGACTATATAAAGAACTCAAAATAATTACACCCCCAAATTTATAGACATTATCCAAAAATAGGCATCTAAAATGAATAGACTCATCTCAGGTGAAGAAGTACAGACAGCCAATAAATACATCGTCAACACCATGTGCCATTGCAAAATGCAAATTTAAACAACACTGAGATTCCATCTCACTCCAGAAAGAATGGCTGCCATCAAGAAATCAACCAGTAACAAACACTGGCAAGGCTGTGGGGGAAATGGGATCCTTCTCTATCATTGGTGAGAATGTAAATTCGTACAACTATGGAAATCAGTATGGAGATCCCCAAAAAACTAAAACTAGAGGGTCTAATTGACCTAGCTATCCCCTTCTAGGTATCTTCCTGAAAGTGTTACTTATCATACCATAGTGATACATGCATCCCTATGTTTATAGCAGCACACTTTAAATGAGCTAAATCTTGGAAACAGCCCATATGCCAGTCAACAGATGAAAGAATAAAGAAAATGTGTTAAATATGTGTAAGGATTACTACTCTGCCACAAAGAAGGATAAACTTGAGACATTTTTAGGTAAACGGATGCACCTTGAGACTGTAATCTTAACTGAAATAAGTCAGACACACAAGTTTAAATATTGCATCATTTCTCTTAAGTGAGAAACCCCAGGGGTAAACAAAGAGCAAAATGGAGGATAGATATTGGGAAGTAGGAAGAATATGTTCAAATGAGAAGGGAAACTAGGGAGAGGGAAGGAAGAATGGAAGGAAGGGAGAACAGATTTAAAAACAAAGAATGAAGGAAGAATGGAAAAAACTTTTATAAATGGAGAGAGGAAGAGGGTTGGAGAGGAAAGGGGAAAAGGAGGAAAAATGAATTAAGATATATTATGTACATGTATAAGTGCCCCATGATGGATGTGATTATTATACACACCATAGAGATACTAATTTAAAAATTTTAATAAATTTTTTTAAATTCCTGCTTTGCCTTCTCTTACATGTGTACACTCTGTGGTTTTGATATCCTTTGAAATAAATACAGATTCACGCACACCAACATACACAGGGTACAATGATCATATGCAACGTCCCATATGGGATCATCCTCAAACCACATTTCCTGAGTTCTTTTCCCACAATTCTCCTCATTTTCCTTCTGAGACTCTGGATTCTGTGCCAAAGGAAGTCAGATCTGCCTCCATCAAAGAGAAGAAGGTTGTGCAATTACCAAGGTCCTCTGTAGTTCCAAGTGCTATGCTTGGCACTACAGAAGTAAAAGATGACAACTCTGAGGAGCTTCCACACTGAGGCAGAAGCAGACACACACAATGGACACAACAGCATGCACTGCCAAACACTATAGAATGAAGAACCACACAGAGAAGAGAAACCTAGCCACAGTGGAGGATAAAAATGCAGGTGGAGAGGCAGCTCGGACCTGGGTCGCACTGCTGTGCATAGCAGCCTGGTGTGCAAGGGACTGAGCCCCACTCTGACACACGGCTGTGCACCTCAGATCCTGCACATGCAGCTCACATCTCTTTCTCCCTCTCAGATCCACGTGGGCACCACTCACTGATGCCAGTTGGAAGGTTCTCTTCTCTGTTCTCCAGATCACTGGCAGCCTGGAAGAGTTGGTGCTAACTGGAAATCCACTGAGTCTGTCTGCTGTGCAGAGTCTTGGTGAGACCCTGGGTCACCCTCGCTGCCACCTGAAAACCCTGCGGTGAGTCTGGACTGGGTTCTCCTCTAGAGCTGGCAGGGTGGGAAAAGGAAGATAGAAGCTGAGTCTAGGATGTGGGTTTGGTCTGCACATTCATCAAATATTTATTCACGGCCTCACTGATCTCGCAAAGTGACGTATGCTGGGGCTGCTATGGGTAACAATCAGAGGCAAGATTCCTTTGTCATGTAGTTAGAGAGCAACTGACATTAATCAAGAAACTGTACTAACACATGGGTAACAACAGGCCCAGAGTTCCCTGCGGAAGTGGCTTGAAAGAGAGCTAAAGGAAACAGAGGATTGGACCAAGAGAAGCAGGGGTGGGAGGAGCAAGTTTCAAGCAGAGGAAACAGGATCTCCTGCCTCCCGCTCATCTCCTAACCAACATTCTATGCTCTGCTTCTATGTGCTATGCTTTTTAAGATTTCACACACACCTAAGATTGTGCAGTGTTCTTCTACATCTGTCTTATTTCACTCCCTTTTTATTTCACTTTTCACTTTCTCTTGAAAAATATGAAATAGCCAGAAACCAAGAATTCTGGAGATTTTCTTTATGAAGAATTGAAATCTAGCATATTACATAGATAAAGAAGATTCACAAGAGGAAAAGATCAGAGTGGGGTAGGAGGACATGGAAAGAAAGACATTTGCTGAAGACCCTTGGAATCATGTGGGACAGATGGATAGAGAAGGACTGAGTAAAACATGGAAACTCAGAAATTCATGGATATTAAGAGTTTCCAGCCCCACAGCAGCAGCACGTTGTGAGCACTGACCTCCTGCTAGGCACTGCCCCAAGTATATGACACACATGTCCTCCCTTCATTGGCTCCCTTCAATAGGCTCAGAGAATCCGTGTTACAGGCAAACAAATTACAAATGAAGATAAGAAAACCTGCCCATAATCTTCAAGTAGCACCAGAAAGAAGTGAGACCTGAACCCATGTTAGGCTGGTTCCAGAATATTTACAATATCCACTGCACCCACCGCCTTCACTCAGATATCCTCAGCCTCCTCAGTGAGGTGCATAACCACATTTTCTCAATAGGATTGGAGAGTTTGGGATATGAAAGTGGTATCCCAACAGCACATCTTACAGTGATAAGACCTTTGAGGGGAATAAACCTGCAAGAGTCGTTTTACTCTAAAACTTTACCTTTATGCAA